TTTCTCGTTGACGTTTCTGCCGTTGACATCTCCCGTGGGTATTTTAAGATAGTAGCAAGTAGATTTCTACAGATGAGCACAACCTTCCCTCCTTCATAACACATCGTAATTTAAACAGTCAGTGTGCGGTGAGATATGACCTCACTTCCTGAAACCAGCAATCTAAGTGTAAGACGCATGGAGTCTGTATGTACAGTTTTTCAATTTGAAATGTTGCACATATTGAGTTAAATCACATTGCTGCTAGGCTACAGCTGCTGGACTAACTATACCTAGGCATTTGGAGGCTGCAGATGTAAGGACAAGACAAATAAAAATTGCCACAATCTATCTGATGAACATCTCGCTGACGAGGCCCAAACAAGGCCAAAATGATCGTCCAGGGTTGCTGCATCTCTCATGCAGAGAGAACTTGCCAGCATTTTGGTTCTCAACTGCCCTTATGGGTGGGATCAGTCTGATACACAAATGGTATAGGTTCTCTTTGTAATGGCACAAGTGAGCAAGAGGATTTTTGACACCTGAGTGGTGACTAACCAAAGGGAAAGCTACTGGGTTTCTCTAAGCTTTTGCCCGTTCTCATATTCTCTCAGAGTTCTCATATTTTCTGGGTTTTTTATGCAACACCTAAATATATCTTAGAAGAAGAGCTAGAGAGGCAGAATTGTTTCAACTCTTCACATGACAAACATTTCACTAGCAAGAGAGGGCTGAATTAAAACGGCAAAGACAGCATAACCCCCTCTAGTTTTGTAAAAACACGTTAGTCCTGGTGCTTTCGGTTGCACCAGCAGCAAGAAACGAGCAAACGTTCTTACTACAAATCCAATTATCTCTGTAGCGGAGCCCTAGTCCTAGCAGGGATTCTCCTCTGCTGGTTACTCCAAAATGTACTCAGGAACAAGTAAATTATTACAAGGGAACAGCCAAAAACAGCAAAGTAATCCAAGATTCTCCCAACACCTCCCTAGCAACTGGACCACACTGAGCTCTGAGGGTATAACTGGTTTTAATGGAGCCACAGATGGCCTTTTATGAGAATCCCCATGCAACGGGTACTCCCACATGGACCTTGTGGGGGACTGAGTGACAATATTCATGGACCAATCAGACAGTATTCCAATGACTGACACCCCCACACTTAGCGTACAGTCCCTCCCCTCTGCCTGGGATAGAATTGAGTCAAATACTGTATTAACTCAATTATCTCCAGGCAGGAAAAACACACATTTTACCAAACTCCACAACTGATACATCCCCTGAGAGCCCTCATCTGGGTGACCAACATATCCAAAGATCACCCAGATCAGTTCAGGGGTTCAGAAATTTTGAAGCACGCATAGTTTCATGCCCCAAAAAGTTCCAGAGAATCAGGCTGTGCGGCCGGTCTACTTCGAGGATTCGAAATAACATTTGAATTACCGAACGAAGTCGTTCGTGGATATAGTTAGTGTATGTCTCTTGTTCTGGGGCATCTTCTTACCGAACGCCGTTCAACTCACGTTCGAATAGCCGAACATCCATGGAAGGTGAAGTTTTAGCGGTGTTCGTGCCGTCGAGTGTCCAATTTGAGTTCCATGAACTCGACAACCAAACACCGCTGGATGTGTTCGACTAAACAAGATGGCTGCCGCCACGTGTTCGAATGCCACCTCGAATGGTTTTGGGAGTCTGACAGTTCGAAGTGCCATTTCGAAAGTTTGAAGTGTTACTGTCTAAGTCCACAAAAAGGTATAAACAATGGTAGTAAATAGGGAAATATGTCTCACACAGGGACATCAAACCCCAATCAATAGGAACAACAGGAAAAAGGGGATACGGACAGCCTGTAGTGGCATAAGGGTACTGTAGCATGGTACATTCCGCTACAATCCCACTCTCTCCACACCCACGGCAAATGTAAAGCCCTCTAAACAATCTTCTAAAAATGACCCCTTCTTTCACCTATTTCCCTTCTCTTCTTAACGTTTTAGAGCTTGCGCTGCATTTCTCAAGCAAAATAACCAAAATTAGAGGATCCTTCCCTACCCGAGGTCCATATCCATCTCATCCACATCGCTCTTCGTTTGCTAACATTATGACAATGACCTTCTCCTTGTCATCTAAAACCACGTGAGAAATTTGAAAGTTGTCCATGTTTGGTGTCCACAGAACTAGAAGCTTCTAAGCAATTATATCAGAGGTTAGATATGTAGCACACAAGCTGCTTGATGGATCTGGACAGGATCCTGTGATTTGACCTGGAAAGGGAGTGCTTGAGACAGACAACAAAACACTTGCTATTCATTGAGATACAATCAACACGTCTATGACTCATCTTTGGATATTATTCTGGCAAAGACTTTACTAGAGATTCCTACAGAGAAATGTTTTATGTATTGTGATTTAACTACCGTAGTTTTTTTGTTTCTGAATTGTGAATGCACTCTATAGTATTATTTTTTTGATATGTTTTCTAATGTCTAACTGTTTGTTATAGTAAATATAATGTTATTTTTATATAGCACTGTTAATTACTTTCTTTTATTAAAATATTAATTATTTAAGATCGGGCTTGTATGCAGATTCAGATTTCCCCTTACAGTAAAATCGGTCATGTACATTACCAAATTGTTAACGGTTTATTTACAGTTATAAAAATGTATATAATGCAGCCTGGGTTGGAGAATTATAAATTTAAGGGGGTAACCGAAGACGTCTAAATAGTCTTATTGATGTCAGCAGATTTGCTAGAACTTGAGGTGGTAGGATTTTGGGGCTTAATGTGGCTTTGCTTTATGTCCTGTAGGGTCCCTCCCATACCCACATCTCCCCCACTGTCCAGGCTTGGCAAAGTGTCCTGTCCATCACACTGAGATTAGAGTCTCCCACGTTTTTAGTATTATGGATGCTGTTAGCCAGTATGCAGAGTTGTTCAGTACATATATACATATATATTATAAAATTACTTGCAGTAGTAGATTTCTGCGAGCAGAATTATGCAGCAGAACTCAGCCTCTATTAATAAATCTATGCCTGGTATTAGCTCCATAAAAAGAATAATTAAGACTCAAAGTTTAATGATTTGAATCTAGTGATAATACAATTATTCAAGGTAATTGATTAAAAAATTAATTATGATTAGAAACTCAATATGCTAATGATTCAGCACTTGCGTGGGTGCACAAAATTTCACTCCTTACACATGTGCAATGTGTGTCCGATAAACTGGATGACTTACAAGAGAGATAAGGCTGTGCAGAAGATGAATGAAATTTAGTACAGGAAGCTGTTGGTCCGGGGCAGCTATCTGTAAACACGGTCTGATGTTTGCAGATTTGTGCCATATCTAACCATGACGATTTTGACTTTAATATATATATATATTTTAATTTCTTAATCATTGTAGATGATTTGCCAGAACCGTCATGAAATAGCACCTTGTCTTGAAAAAGTCGCGGTAATGGAAAAAGTTAATCATGTTCTCTAATTAAAGTATTTGAAAATGTAAATAATTATTATTGTTGCTGTAAATGGGCATAATTGTTATTATTAAATAATTTAATTATGTCCTAATTATTTCCATTCCCTCTCCAGTCTTCATCTTTGTTTGTATGCCAGGATTTGTATAATGGTGCTAGCTACAGAAATGCTAAATTGTAAAGTGGTCCAGACGTGATTTCAATTTCTTACACTCCATTTGTGATGCAAATTGTGATACAATGCTTCTCCTGAGTGTTTATTCACCTCATAGCAATTTGCCGAACAGTGTGATATTCTGCTCTGGCTCAATACAGGCAAGCTTAAGTAGAACTGATAAACAGAATATTCTAAAGAATATCTGAAGAAAGAGAGCCACCATCTTTTTACTCTTAGGAAAAAAAAATAAGTTTCTCCATTTAACACCAATAAGAGTTTAACTTGTACATCGTGTAAGAGCAGGGCCGGTGCAAGGATTTTTGCCGCCCTAGGCAAACAAAAAATTGCTGCCCCCCCCCCATATGACATCACAATGCCCCATCCATATGATCTGCCATGTGAGCCAACGGCGGTGCTCCACACAGTGTCTTTTCTCTGAAAAGGCAGCGTGTTTACATTAAAAAAGCCTGCAGGGACAGGCTATAGACACCAGAACCACTACATCAAGCTGTAGAGGGTTCTGGTGACTGTAGTGTCCCTTTAATGTGAGGTAAATTAGAGATTAGTGCCACTAATAATATACTGGATTGCCTAATTACCACCAGATGAGGACAAGAGGATGATGATGGGCTCAGGCTGCAGTCTGGCTCCACTGGTCTGGTGTTAAAACAGGTTCTCTAGAGGCAGTGCTCACAAACATCAACGAACAGGAAGCAGTTCCATTTTTGGGGGCCCTTTACACATAAGTTCGCTCACAGGGAGTGGAGTGTATCTGTGTAGGGGATGTGTTATGTGTTATTGTAGAGGATGTAATGCATATGTGTTCTTATGGAATGTAGTGTATAGGGATACCAGTGTGTGTGTGTGTAAGGGATGCATTGTTTGAATCTGTGTTTGTATGTATAAGGGATGCTATGTGTGTTTCTGTGTATGTAATGTAATGCAGAGTGTGTGTCTGTAATGGGTGCATTGTGTGTGTGTTTGTGAGGTATGTATTGGCCCCACAATGCATGCAAATGAAATTTCAAATTCATGGTAAAAAATAGCCGAACTTGGAAAATTTCTCAAGTCAACTTTGCTTTCGGTTCTGCTACTCTTACCTGAAATTGGAAATTCACTTTAAATTCTCTTTGAATTCCCACTTTAGTAAATAAACCTTCATGTCTACATAATGACCATCATAGTACATTCCTGTTATCCTCATTCTTGGGCATTGCACATCACCCCACACCTTCTTCAGAACAGTGAAGCTGCGCGTTTTATTTTTAAAAGCTGACAATCTCTTGGACACTTCTTGGATAGAATTGGTATGATACTAATGATTCTAGAACCTTTTGAGAACCTTAAGTTCAGGTTAAATGGGATGATGTACAGAAAGCAAAAGTTTATATTTTACTGCCTGCGGCTAACGTTATTGAGTATAATTCTAAAGACTCACAGAAGGGAATAGCAGTGTGTCCTCCTGGCATTGTGCCAGCGGCAAGACTCTGCACTGTATAATATGCCTTGTTTTAACCTTCCACACATTCCACCGGAGAATATTCAGCCTTATTCTCATCTGCAGCAAATGCTATCCCTATGTTTGCATGTGACACCTGCTCTTAAGACCATCTCCCTGGGGTCCTTCTCGCTGCATCTCATTATCTTCACCTGGACTCTAGGAGGCTAGTGGTCAGCATATTTAATATTGACCTCTCTCGTGCTTGATGGCTCAGCAGTGCGCCGCAGAAAAAAGTCTTTCTATTTTGTTTTGTTATTTTTCCCTTACGATTTTAAATCGAGGAATGCTAAATTATACATTGAGAAAGAGTGCTGTGTTTCAAACTATTTGTAAAGACTTGTTGAAGACACTTAGTGGTCTCATGGCTACATTAAATTTGAATACTATCCTTGATTATGATCGATATTACAGACGTTCCAAAAAATTAATTTACTCAGCTGAAATCTAAAATGGAATTTGTGATTTTATTTTCAGCTTTAACTTTTTCTAGCTGCATCGAAACAATTTAATTAAAACCAATTAAAACTAGCGGAAAAAAAGCTGATTTGGAAGAATTAAGATTCTGCTTCACGTCACAGTTTGGTTATTTTTCCCTAATTCTTACAGTTCAGATTTCAACTCACTCCAGTTTGGTGTTCAGTGATTAAAGAAATACCACAACCACTACAGTTCTCCGGAACCCCCTACCCCATTCCTATTTTAGGTAGTCCATTGCATTTGAACATATTGATTTCTTATCTGGGGTCAGCCAAGCAGTATTCTTCACATCTACTACAGTGGTGTATTCTGGTTTTGTACTGTCCTAGCATGACAAAACTCAGGAACGCCCCCACCTCTCACCCCTTCCAAATTTCTCTTCCTGACAGACACACACACATCCTCACTGATACATGCACTGACACACTCACAGTTACACAGTCATTGTCACACACATTGTTTAACCAACACACTTTCACTGAAACATACACATTCACAGACATACATACTCACTCACAGTTACACTCACAGTTACACACACATTCTCATTCACAGACAGATACACATATACAATAACTGACAGATATGCATTCACCGACGTACACATACACACTTACTGACAAACACGTATGCACTCTCACTGACAAACACACATACACTCTCACTGACAAACACATATACACTTTTAGTGACAGACACACTCACTAACACATACACACTCTAACAGACACACTAACACTCACTAACCGACACACACTAACATTTACTATCCAACACACACAAACACACTCACTAACAGACACACACTAACACTCACTAAGAGACACACTTACTAACAAACACACTAAAACTCACTAACAGACACACTAAAACTCACACACACTAACACTCACTAACAGACACACTCACCAACAGACACACTAACACTCACTAACAGACACACTCACTAACAGACACATTAACACTCACTAACAGACATACTAAAACTCACAGACACACACAGACACGCTCACTAACAGACACACACTAACACACAGACACTCACTAACAGACACACACTAACATTTACCAACATACACACACACTAACACACTCACAATAAAAATATTAAGTTTCAATCCACCCAGCCTCCTACCTTTGGGAGTGCTTTAGTGGATATTTCCCTGTGGTCCAGTGGGGCTGGCTGCAACTTGGCGGGCAGGCGGACAGTTGGGAGGTCTGGCAGACAGGTGAGCGGTGGAGGTGGCAGCGAGGGAGCTCTGATCTCACTGCTCAGCTCCCTCGCGTGCCTCTTAGTGATGCCGGGGCCGGAGTGACGTTATATTCTGGCCCCTCGACATCACTGCAGTGCGCACGAGGGAACTGAGCAACGAAGAGCTCAGGGCACAGTGTTTTCTCGCCGCCCGCCTGAAACATCAGCGCATGCCAGCTGTGAGGGGGCCTTAACATGGCCAGCTCCTTGCCCCCCAGGACAAGAGGCTGGCAAGGCATTTGCCAGGGCGATTGGGGGGGCTTTTTTTGCTGCCCCCCTGAAAGTGCCGCCCAAGGCAAATGCCTTGACAGCCTGGCGGTAAATACACCGCTGATCTACTACTAACACTGGAAGCTCCTAATCTGTAGTTTCTGTTATCTTCCAAGATAAGTACTGTATTGCAGAATTGTGTTCCATGGTTTAGGGCAATCAGCTAAGCTTAGGAGAATCCAGCTCTCTGGCATGAGTACCAAAGGTGGAAAGAAGTGCCCAGTAGATGGTTTGACTACTTACAATCGGGGGTGTCAGGGCACCCTTGGTACTATAACCACTTGCTGTAGTGGTTATGGTGCTTCAAGTGTTACTTTAAATTCCTATGATAAATTTAAGTCATGATTTCGTAAATATCCTTTCCTCATCTTCAGTTGTGGTCAATTGAATCATGGTGGCCCAAACTGCATAAACAATGACACCAACTAGAATTTCTATAGAACTACATTACTCTTGTTATAAAATACTGTAAAGCATTGAACCGAGTACATGTTTGGTTATTCACTTCAAGTTCCAAAGGTGCTGAATGTACGATACTCCACATTTTGCAAACCAAGTTCATCTGAATGAGCCCGAACTGGAGCCTCTCTAAGCTAATCCGAAATGAATGACCCAGAGATAGGGCCGATTAGCTCAAGATTTGCTTGGAAGTAACTTCCCAATTAATTTATGTTGAATTTTAGAAATAAAATTGCCCTGTTGGGTTAAAATTAAATACAAATCAATATGCTGCTCTCTAACAAGATACCTTTTTTTAACCCTCACACTGCTAATTACGTTTCCCTCCACCCCATGAAACTGAATTAATTATTTCTTTAACCCTTTGCACTCTCTTTTCCTACAGGTAATAAGTGGATTTGCATTTGTATGTCATCACTTTTTGTACCCAGGATTATCCAAACTTTGGATAATTCAGGTCAATTCAGTGCTTAGTACAATTTATGATCTCTAATTCTATAATTTCATTAGAATTGTGTAATGTTTTTTTTTTTGGCATAAACAGAGATTATATATATATATTAAAGTTTTGTGTACAGACTTTAATGCCAAACTGCAATTTGGGAAAACTAAGATTTCAATAATTCAGTCAAATCCTTTGATTGGTTTCATCAACCCTCCTACTTGGTCAAACTGATGAAACTGGAAGTCCAGGCAAAAATTTTACTCAGGTGGGGCCGGCTATTTGTCTAATCCTCTAAATTGTGGCTACTATGCTAGATTTCAGACACTTGGGAGATATAACAAAACTTGACATTATATTAATTACGTTTTCTCTCTAACAGTTGCAGAAACTTAGCTGAAACTACTTTAGAGACTATAAGAAGAAATAAAGGAGTATTGTTTTTTTTCCAAGTTATATCTAAGATTTTTTTTTTTACAGTAAACTGTATTACATTTAACATATTTAATCTTATAACTTGGGTGATACTAATTAAGAATATATTTGACCACTTCTTTTTTGTGTTCATTCTTCAGCTTGAAACATCACTTTGGCTTCATCTGGATTGGTTCCTCCCACAGTGGCAATGGACGTGTTTAATTGGATTCGTCCCCCTCGGAGGATGTCCTCTCACCAGCACCAGACGTTCGACTTTTTGGTTGTGTTGTTGATTTCTGTTTTCCTTGTTACAGTTTTGTTAATTTTTGGCTTCAGCTTCATCAAGAAAGAGGAGTGGCTTAGGGTCACATGGGAGTTTATGGAACGTGGACTGCTTTCATTGGCTAAATGTATTATATGATTAACCCTTTGAGGGTACTTGTTTTTTTTTTTTCTATTCAATATATTCAAATATCCTTTCTTTGCTGCTGAAGAATAAAAAAAGAGATAAATACATTTGGAGAAACGTACCTTACTACTGCATAGACTGAATAAAGGAATAAGCTAAAAAAAATTTTTTTATTATTATCTTATTTTGCTCTTTAACATTATAATACTTGTGGATTTGTGAGCAGGCCAGTTAGACATTCCCTGATCCCATAAACCATTGCTTTCGATAGTCTGGTGGGATAGTGCAAAGGAGCAATGGTTTTGGTTACTCTAGTTTAGTACCATTTTTACCAGATGACCTAGTTTAAATGATCTAAAGGCATATGTTGGTTAATTAACAACTTTTGACCAGTGCATGTCCTAGCAGTATATAAACCAACTTCCTTTTAAATTATACCCATCATTGACAGAAGAACAAAGTATATATATACACTTAAAAAAAAAAAAACCTTTAGTTCTCAAGCTCCAGTAATAATGACAAGAAACCAACATTTCTGACGAGCCAGGATCCATGCACTCTTTCAGGGTAAAGCAACAGAGTGATAGATTTAGTGATGTAAAGTGAAACATTGTTTTCAGTATTTTGTTTAATGTGCTTTTCTGTGGTACGGTTGCAAGTTCAGCATAATTAACAAAAAAAACCCCCAACAACTTTGGACTTTCGAAGATGACTACATATGCAAGCTGCTATCCTGTCTCGACCTCTTGCAGCTGCAGAATTAGCCTGTCTGGACAAAGAGCAGAGCCAGCTATCTGAAAAGCCTTGTGCTAGGGCTATAATACTTGCATATAATTAACTGGAACAGAACATGAAAACAGAGATTGACAGCTTCTGGCACATCAACCATGGAGGACAGGGTTGTCAGAGCTAGCCAACACAACAAGACAGGGGTCCTCGGCATGGTGGAAGTCTTAATGCACAGTAGATGGATTTCATAAAAAAAACTGGTCTGCATGAATAAATCTTATATACTTATTCTTTTTAATAAAAATAAATAAATAAATCTCAATCAAAGCCTTTTTTAGAATTCCATTTTGCATGTGAGGTCATGCATTATTAAAATGTAGGTTTTCACCTAATTACAAGTTATGCTAAGTATGTGTCTTCCTATGACACGTACCTGGGTTTGAAGTGTGGCCTATGTAGGATCGGATGACGAGTGTGAAATTTTTGTGCATAAGTTACGGAACCAGGTGCTGGCGGACACGATCACTTATGCAAAATAATTCCATGCCACTTTCATGGCTCCATCAAAAACAAAATATATAAATATGTGCGTTTGTTCCCTGGAGATTCCAAGTTTATGTTTTTACAGAAATAACGT